TGATGCACATTATTTTGTTTTTCAGATAAGATTAAAAATGGCCGACTGGCGGCCATTTTGTTTTAATGAATGTGGTTCTAGTGCCATATCTCTGACTTGCTTTGACTGATTATGTTCAAATTTTAAATATTCATTATAAATCATGTCATAGATATACAGATATATTGGTTTGACGATCCTATTAAAAATTGCCGAGTGGTGGCAATTTTTGTGCTAAAAAATCATCAAAATCAAGCATTTCCCGGCTGTTTACAGATGGATTTTGTTCAAACCTTGTATATACGTTGGACATTATAGGACCTTGATGCACATCATTTTGTTTTTCAGATACATGTTAGATTCAAAATGGCCGCCTGGCAGCCATTTTGTTTTAATGAATGTGGTTCTAGTGCCATATCTTTGACTTGCTTAGACTGATTATGTTCAAATTTTAAATATTCATTATAAATCATGTCGTAGATATACAGATATATTGGTTTGACGATCCTATTCAAAATGTCTGAATGGTGGCCATTTTTGTGCTAAAAAATCACCAAATATCAAGCATTTCTGGCATTTATGGATGGATTTTGTTCAAACTTGGTACATACATTAGACAGTATGGGTGCACATCATTTTATTTTTCAGATAGGATTTAAAATGGCCGACAGGTGGCCATTTTGTATCAATCAATGCAGCTCTAGTGCCATACCATATCTCTGACATGCTTTGACTGATTATGTTCAAATTCAATATATTCATTATACATGCATTCAAAATGGCTGATTTTGTTTTAATTAATGCTGTTCAGAGCAATATCTCTCAATACTCGTTTGGCGATCAGATACAAATGTCAATCATTTTAATGTTAAACAATCATCATAATCATATTCCTGACATGTTTATGTTCCAACTATATTACTATAAACAAAACTATATATCTTAAATTCGATAACTAACAGGGACTGTGTCATGTATGGCTTGTTATGTATTGTTTTCAGTATCGTTGACCAGCACCAACCCTATTTTAACGTATTGTTTTCAGTATTGTTGACCAGCACCAACCCTATTGTTATGTATTGTTTTCAGTATCGTTGACCAGCACCAATCCTATTGTTATGTATTGTTTTCAGTATCGTTGACCAGCACCAACCCTATTGTTATGTATTGTTTTCAGTATCGTTGACCAGCACCAATCCTACTGCCTATCTGGGATTCATGTTGGTGGCATTACAAGCATCAAACGAATATGAAGCGGCCGGCAACTTTGAGGTAATTTCATATTTCAAATATAATAGAAAACAAATAATTAAACCATGCAAAATGAATGTATGTTTTGGGGTTGATAAATTAAGATAGATTAAATTCTTGGCTTTGAATTCATTTTGCATAAAAGTGTTTTCCAGATTTTACTAGCCTACTAGTATGTTATATTTTAGTGTATGGCGGCCATTTTGTCAGTATTAATAAAAATAAGCACACAATGGGAGTCTTTGCAGTTAGTGCGTCTGTATGTGTGTGTGTGTGTCTGTGCGTCTGTATGTATGCCTGCCTGTGTGCGTGTGTGTGTGTGTGTGTGTGTGTGTGTGTGTGTGTGTCCGTCTGTTCCACATAAGATATCTCAAGAACCATATGTTGGTTTTTAATGCGCAGATATAAGTAGGTTTTGGTCGAAATAACTGCATACTAATTACCTAATTTGCATGATAATTTGCTAATTTTTGGCTGTTCTATGACTGTTCTGCAAATATCTAAAGAACCATTCATTGTATTTTGATAAAACTTGATACAAAGATGCTCTGGGACAATACGCAGTCCTGATTAGTTTTGGGTAAAAATCCATACATGTCAATTACCTTATTTGCATAATGATTAGACAATTTTTGGCTTTTCCACTGTTATCTCAAGTACTAATCATCACATTACAATCAAACTTGGTACATAGATGTCATAGGACAATGCACAGGCCTAATTAGTTTGGGGGTTAATACCCATTTATATTAATTACCTAATTTGCATAATTAGTACATAATTAGTGCCAACAAAAATATGCAAATATGCATGCAGCCTGGGGAGAACACCGAACATGGATACATCATGACTGATTGGGATATTTTATGTTGAAGTTATATCTCTACCTAACACATGTTAGAGGTCAGAGAGACAAACTGTAGGTTATTGTATTAGATGGTCAGGGTTCTGCCTAGCCTGATTTGATGTCAGTCGCTAAATAATATTCATGAGGTCATTAATAGTCATTTTTCCATTCTACTAGCTACGATTTAACTACTTTAATTATTTTAACTTTTATTTTGAATATTTCAATGTAAAATTAATCTGATTTGATAAATGTGGAAAAATATATACATTTTATTTTCGCAATCACGTCTAAAATGCGTATTTTGAGACATTGACCTCTGACATGGCAGCCATGGAAACAAGAATTTAATTGTTTTCTTTCCCAATGGAATGCTGGTAAATCACATTAATAGTGTAAAATAAGTATTCCTTGTATCGCTGACTGAACATAGCTTATAATTAATTTAATGAATGAGTCATTAAGCCAAAAACATCAATGAAGGTTATTACACTCGAGTGCAAGTGCAGATTAAATGAACGACAGCTTGATGCATCGCTGCAGGTGAAGTGATGTAGTGAGCAATTTATTGTTCAACTCAACAAATCTTACACACAACTAAACTTGCAATGGTAATGCTTCCTTCTGTTTATTTATCATTGCCTTCCCTTCCATTATCTTGATGTACGACTTATTCCGATCTGGTTCGCTTATTAAAACCAGGGAGCTGTAATGAGAGCAGAATGTCAATTGGAGAAGGTTAAAACAAAAACACATTAGGCCGATGTCACAAGTGTACGTTAATTTAGCGGTGTCTTCTTTCAAGTTTTGTTGTGTGTTAATTGTTTGCATTGTGTTGTTGTGTGTTAAAACCAACAAGAACATAGAATGATGGTCCATTGGCCGACATCCTTTGTGTATCTTAAACAAATAGGATAGTGCCGGTCGCCAACTTTTTGTCCTGGTCGGAAATTCTGAGTGCTGGTCGCTAGCGACCGGTGCCAACCAGCGTGGGCAGATCCATGGATGGTTATCAGAGGTAATGCTGATCAAAGGTGATAATCAGAATGTTTTCTATTTTTTTTAGTTGATTGATTATAATATATCTCGTTTTACTGAAAACTGTCCATTCGCATTGACGCATACTTCGAGTCTTCCAAAAATGTCAGTGTCATTCACCTGGACAGCGCCGCCAAGAAACACTGGATGTGTGAATTTTAGGTGAGATATATTCATTCAAATAATGCTTGCTTACCATCTCTTGAATTCTGTCAATCACAGAGGTTTGGGTTTTACCTGCATTCACTAATATAAATATAATAACTGTCTAATATAATACTCTAATATAGATCAATCTAAACATTATTCCCATTATCGATATCAATCTTTTTTCCAATTTTTATTTTTATTAAAACATTTCCTGTATCATTAGTGAAAATTTGTAACGACCGTCACCAAAATGTGAACACTGAATGCATAGCATATATGCTATAGTAACGTTTTTATACATGTATTGAAATAGGAAGACCACAGGCTTGCATCTAGGTCTCCAGAATGCACCATCTATTCAATTCAGTTTTGTCATACAAACCTCAGATATTACAGTATTGTATTTAAAATAATATTTCGGTAAGATTTGGTCATATTTATGTAGTTATACAGTGACCCCTTGGTAAGTCGCGCCTCGGTAAGTCGCGATTCGGCTAAGTCGCGGGTACTTGGATGGCTCCCCAAATTTCTATTGTGTTTTGACAGCAGTTCTGAAGTACAAAGACTAATGTTTCATGGCATAGTGTTTTTAACTAACCGTTAAAGAGACAACTTAACACCTACTGTCCGTCAATTGCTGAGATGCAATGGGTGACGGCGGCCTTACTCAAGGTGTCAACAGGGGTGTCGAGTAGTGACCGTATGTGCTTCTCGGCCGGTCCTATTTTGGTATACCTCTATAAAAACCGCTACAATGAGTTGAATTCATTATCTGATCTCTATTTCTCAACTGAGCAGCATGTCTAAGCGAAAGCTATCCAGTCTGTTCGTACGCCATAAACTCACAGCGATCGACCGAGTCAAGAAGAGGTGAAACCAAGTTAAGGGTTGCACGTGATCTAGCAGTGGGTGAGCCCACTATTCGTGGGTGGGTAAAAAATGAAGAGGGAATTTGTTTTCAAAGTTGATCAAGAGGCGGGACTGAACAGAAAAACGTGCGAAATTGTCCGACAATGATGACATCGATATAGCTGTTTACGTTTCTTCAAGAACAGTCTGCCAGAACTCTACTGTCTGGTCCCATCACCCAATGCAAAGCACACAACTCAGATATGACGACTTTTAATTTGAGTTCAGGGTGGTTCTTGTGATGGCAAAGAAGACACGCTATACACGAAGTCTCAATCCAAGGCAAAGCTCGGTCTGCGAACATGGACGCTGTCAGAACTTTTTCCGAAAAACTGAGAGAAATTATCTATGAAGGTGGTTATTCCGACAAACAAGTTTATAATTGCGATGAAACTGGTTTATTTTGGAAGCTGTTACCGTCGAAGTCGCAAGCAACAGCAAACAACCCACATAATATCGGACACAAACAAAATAAACAACGCATCACTGCAATGTTTACAGCAAACATAATCGTGATCTTATTCGAATACTGCCTGACACATATGATACATCATACAATTTGTAAATATGTTTCTAATCTTTCAATTAACTAAACCAAGGGTTTATATGTGCTTTTTATATGTTTTCTATGCATGACCCCCTTCTTTCACGAGGACCCTCGGTAAGTCGCGGCCCTCGATAAGTCGCGGTTTTTGCTTGGATCCCGACACCCGCGACTTAGCGAGGGGCCACTGTATTTAAAACAAAAAAATCACAGGAATTCACTTATAATAAATCTGTAATGTAACACAAGTTCTTCTTATGGTCACATACTGTCTAGCCATGCCATAAGGCAACATTACTGAAATAGTTTACTAATAGATAAATTATTTTTCTAAATGCTGTTTTTTCTAAAATGCGGTAACTTTATAGCCACTGTATAAGTATTGTAACATTGTCTACTTAGTGACTTAATGACAGCCGTACTGGTGATGGTATGGTAATAATTATTAGTATACCCACAGGGTTGGATACTTACACTGATGGGATATACCGTTATACCCACAGGGTTGGATACTTACTCTGATGGGATATAATTGAATGTTTACAGTTTACAGAGAAAACAAAGGTTATTTTACATTTTACGGAAAAAAGAAAAAGATTAAAAAAGAAAACCTAGAAAATTCTTGTACGTACCGGAAAAAATGACACATTTTTACAGTGTACGAAAAAAATATTTAATTTATTACGTTGTACGTCTAGCCTGTGATTACAGAATTACGGAATTTATTTTTTCAATTTACGTTGTACGAACAAAAAAATATTGCAATTACGTTGAACGAAAATAACCCTTGCCCCCCCTCTTACACTGATGGGATATACCATTATACCCACAGGGTTGGATACTTACACTGATGGATATACCATTATACCCACAGGGTTGGATACTTACACTGATGGGATATACCATTATACCCACAGGGTTGGATACTTACACTGATGAGACATATTTTTATACAAGAATCTTTGAATTTTCAATATATATTCAGTCATAGTTTTTCTCCCAAAATTTCATGTGTATATAATTCTGTTGATGCAATGTAAAATCCATGTTATTTATTCATTTCTTGTACATGGGGTGATGAATATATTACAGGGATGGGATCTAGTGTTTAACATGATGTAATGTTTGTTATCACCAGGGCAACCGTTGTACAACATAAACAGGTATGGTTCAAAGATGATGGGGCACTGACTTTGACCCTCTGTGAAGCAGGTAATTACAATCAGGTTTCATTTTAAAAAAATGTCTTATGGATTGACCTCTCTATATCTCATTGGGTGTGCTTACATGTGAATATTATATATTTAATATACTATGTAAAGCAATTATTAGTTTATTAAATTTTTGGAAAAGTTTTGTTAGCAAATGTTATTGCAACTGATATTTGTAATTTGTTTCGACCAGTCTTTGATTCACTTATTTCAGGCCTTCATCTCCACCCACAAAGTCAACTACAGTCATGTTGATTTATCTGACTCAAATTTGTTATAAAAACCAGACATACCCGGTAATGTTATATGCTTAATAATTTGCATATTGGTGACTTAACCTTTTCACCACCAGACTACCTTGCCTAAATTTTTCTGCCCTTTTTTCTCATATTTTTCAATATTTCTGGAAATGAACCCTAATTTTGGAGCCAACGGACAAAATTTGATTCAATTTTTACTAAGCAAATACGACTATTTTTGTTCAGACTATAAACGGGACTATTTTCTGAATTTGTGATGAAAAGAGGGAACTGGTGGTGAAAAGGTTAATAATTTATATCTATAATACTATATTTTATATTATAAATGGTTAATTGTACACTGTCTTCATTCTAATTGGTCCATCTGAAACTATTTGTCAGACTGGGTACAAAATCAGGCAGTATGTCATAAACCCAAAGTTCAAAATAATCCTGAATTTTAAATTTTTTTTGGTGTGTAAAATGATAGAAAAATTATTAAAATGTCATACCTGAATATTGGGTGGATGGGGATGGGGGTTACAGCACTCAAAGGGTGCTCTCAGAAATGGGCTGATTTATTTCAATCAAAATGTGACCAATTTGTGTGTTTTTTTGTGATCCAATGTACCAATTGCCAGCCATTTTGTATTTTCACTCATAACTTTTCATATAGCAAAATCCCTGTATTAATGTACTCGACCGCGTTAGCGCCCAGGGGCCTCAGCTCAGAAATTCATGATTTTTTAGGGCTGGGTGCTTACCCGAGCACCCCCCTCGAAAAAGAGTGCAAATGAAAATTTTGATTCATCATGTGACAGATTACGTCAAGGAGGGAAAAAATCAAATTACGAAATTAGTTGCATTGTCATTGATTTTCACAATGAAGAAACAGAAATGATCACAAAAAATATGCACATTTTATTACAATATTAATTACGTACCACCAGAATTTACGAAATTAAAAACATTAGAGTCTGTTGGAACAGTCTCAGTCAAAATTCTCATCATTATCTCCACTGACGAAGGTGTTGGATTGTACGCAAACTCTCGATGAAAATCACTTTCCGCCATAATGCATTTGCAGATTTGACCTGCAGCAGCGTCCTTTGACCTAATGGGTCAAGTTGGTTATTAACCAATCAGAATGCTGTATTGTACCGACGCAATTCTTCGGAAATTCTCGAAGACTTTCCGGTAACAGAATGCGGAAGTGAATTATCGATGTCGAAGTACGATCTGTTGGATTGATTTCAGCGAATAAATGACATGGTTTTTCCAAAAAACTAGTAACTAGTAAACTAGTAAACTGAATATGGCATGAAATATTTGCCGCATTTTACTTGTATTAACAGGTCATTGTCGAAGCGCACTAAGTTTACGCACGGTTACCGTGGTCTACGCATTCACAACTTATTCATAGGGATCGATATCCACGCTGTATCATATAAAAACGATTACCAAGATTCGTTACGCAAGACCAAGTTTTAAATTAGTTGCATTTTGAATGGGTGGGCGCTTTGCCGAATGTGACCCCAAATATAAAAATTGCACAAAAGTGGGGGGTGGGTGCTTGCCTGGGCATGGGCGATAACGCGGTCGAGTACGGTAATTATAATTAATTTGTTTCTATTATATGTATAGCTGAAGACTATATTCCAGAGAGTTTTCAGCGAGAAATTACGGATTGTTGTGCATGTGGATCTGCTAAATATAGAGTTACATTTATAGGACAGTGGACACGTTCTACACACACTAAAGACTATCCTGCTGGTTGGTAAAACTCATATGCTTTGCATCCCACATTGTTAATGTGTATCTGGCCCTTTTGTAGATGCACCTTGACATCTGACCCTTTTGTAGATGCACCTTGACATCTGACCCTTTTGTAGATGCACCTTGACATCTGACCTTTTTGTAGTTGCCATTGACATCTGACCTTTTTGTAGTTGCCATTGACATCTGACCTTTTTGTAGTTGCCATTGATATCTGACCTTTTTCATAGATGCCATTGACATCTGACCTTTTTGTAGTTGCCATTGATATCTGACCTTTTTGTAGTTGCCATTGATATCTGACCTTTTTCATAGATGCCATTGACATCTGACCTTTTTGTAGTTGCCATTGATATCTGAGCTTTTTGTAGTTGCCATTGATATCTGAGCTTTTTGTAGTTGCCATTGATATCTGAGCTTTTTGTAGTTGCCATTGATATCTGAGCTTTTTGTAGTTGCCATTGATATCTGACCTTTTTCATAGATGCCATTGACATCTGACCTTTTTGTAGTTGCCATTGATATCTGAGCTTTTTGTAGTTGCCATTGATATCTGACCTTTTTCATAGATGCCATTGACATCTGACCTTTTTCATAGATGCCATTGACATCTGACCTTTTTCATAGATGCACCTTGACATCTGACCTTTTTGTAGTTGCCATTGATATCTGACCTTTTTCATAGATGCACCTTGACATCTGACCTTTTTGTAGTTGCCATTGATATCTGACCTTTTTCATAGATGCCATTGACTTCTGACCTTTTTCATAGATGCCATTGACATCTGACCTTTTTCATAGATGCACCTTGACATCTGACCTTTTTGTAGTTGCCATTGATATCTGACCATTTTCATAGATGCCATTGACATCTGACCTTTTTGTAGTTGCCATTGATATCTGAGCTTTTTGTAGTTGCCATTGATATCTGACCTTTTTCATAGATGCCATTGACATCTGACCTTTTTCATAGATGCCATTGACATCTGACCTTTTTCATAGATGCACCTTGACATCTGACCTTTTTGTAGTTGCCATTGATATCTGACCTTTTTCATAGATGCCATTGACATCTGACCTTTTTCATAGATGCCATTGACATCTGACCTTTTTCATAGATGCACCTTGACATCTGACCTTTTTGTAGTTGCCATTGATATCTGACCTTTTTCATAGATGCCATTGACATCTGACCTTTTTGTAGTTGCCATTGATATCTGACCTTTTTCATAGATGCCATTGACATCTGACCTTTTTCATAGATGCCATTGACATCTGACCTTTTTCATAGATGCACCTTGACATCTGACCCTTTTGTAGTTGCCATTGATATCTGACCTTTTTCATTGATGCACCTTGACATCTGACCTTTTTGTAGTTGCCATTGATATCTGAGCTTTTTTTTAGTTGCCATTGATATCTGACCTTTTTCATAGATGCACCTTGACATCTGACCTTTTTTGTAGATGCTCCTTTACATCTTTACATTTATTAGATGCATCTTGACATCTGACCCTTTTTGACTCCCGTGTGCGAAGCACAAAAAGGGAGTCTTTGCAGTTAGTGTGTCTGTCTGTGTGTGTGTCTGTCTGTGTGTCTGTGTGTGTGTCTGTTCCACTGATATCTCAAGAACCATACATTGATTTTTGATGAAACTTGGTGCATAGATGCTCTGGGCCAATGCGCAGATTTGATTAGGTTTTGGTAAAAATCCATGCATATTAATTACCTAATTTGCATGATAATTAGCTGATTTTTAGCTATTCCATGATTGTTCCACTGATATCTAAAGAACCACTCATTGGATTTTGATGAAACTTGGCACATAGATGCTCTGAACTAATGCGCAGATTTGATTAGTTTTGGGTAAAAATCTGTGCAATTACCTAATTAATTACCTAATTTGCATAATGATTAATCAATTTTTGGCTTTTCCATTGATATCTCAAGTACTAATCATCACATTTCAATAAAACTTGGTACATAGATATCATAGGACACTGCACAGACCTGATAGTTTTTAGGGTAATATCAGTACATATTAATTACTTAATTTGCATAATTAATTAATTTTCAGCTTTTGATATTTCAAGTAG